AAAAAAAAAAAAAATCTAAAAACTTGTTTATGGGTGCAAGCATCCCCACAAAAGAAAGGTTTTGAGAATTGGGAATTGGTTTTGGTAGTTCAAAGCTAAGGGTATCCGATCTACTGTCCATAGTTCTCAAATCCTTCAAATTTATTAAAGCATTTTAGATTTTCATGGACAGCAAGCAAAATTTATGGACCTATTAACAATCATTGCAGGTGAAGGAGCGGGCAATGAAACTAGCCAAAGCTATCAAATCTGAGGATGGAGTAGAAGGAGCAGTAAGAGCTTTCTTTAAGCATCTTTCTTCCAAAAAGCCCGAGTCTCAACCATCACCAGTGCCATCAGGTTTCTACGAACAATGCTTTGGTTCTGTAAGAAGATGTTTTGGTTGCTCATAATTCCCAGATCCATTTTGTTGCCCCTTCTCCTTTTCCTTTGTACCTCATTTTCATTTTTCTTCTTTGTTTTCATTTCCAATGTTCTTGTATTCAATTATTACAGTTTTCTTGTGAAAATTATCTTATTTTCACATTATACCTTCCCCCATATATAAGGTGAGTTTCAGTGTATTACTAATCAAACTTTGTAGCATGATCCTTCACTTATTTTCTATGGAAATCCTTTTTGTTTTCTCCCATGGAATTAGAATTGACGAATTTTACTGAACTTTGTAATGTATGTCCATGATCCATTCTCCATCCTGTGGTATTGTAGCATGTAGGTGATGTATATGCTATTTAACATGTTGATGGTGGATAAATGGCCTATAGAACATAATTTGATCAATAACCTGCTTGAGATTATTTAATGAAATAGCATGATTTTGGTGTAGAGTATTAAAGTCCAATAGGCAAGGTTTCAAATTTCGAAATGATGGGTGTATCGTATATTTAAAAGTCTGATATGGGATAGTGGAAAATGGGTGGTATCGTCTTTTTTCCAAAAACTGGAAAAAAAAAACTGGAATAAGGGGGGTATTGTCTTATTTGGGGTGTATTGAAAAAGATATGCCAAAAACTGGAAAAAAAAAATTAAAGGGGGGTAAGGGGGTGGGGGGAAGCAAGTTTCTTTCCCCTGAAAGGTTGAAATAAGCTCTCTTTTTACCCTTAAATGACTTTAAAACTCTAAACCTCATTCCTAGAGTGCTAGATGTTCAAAAATTTGCAAGAAACAAGCATGAATTGTTATTTTTTTAAGATTTTTTAAATTTTGAAAAAATATGACAAAAATAAGTAAGCTTTTTTTTTCATTTTTTATAATATATTTCTTTTTTTTTCCTTAAATGTTTAAATCTATGTTGATTTACATTTGTTACGTTCAAAATCATAATTTTTTGTGTTGAGTAGATCTATGGAAATTTTATGAAGATATTTAGGGAAAATACATGCCCATAAAGACGTAATATGTTTTAGATCAATAGATTTATCTATTATATCTATAGAGCAATTGAAATTTCTTTTTTAATATTTTTTATTTGTTATATTTTTAAAATTAAAATTAAATTATAATTAATTATATTTTACCATTTGATCACAATGATTGAATATATTATAATTCTATGGATGATCTATAATATCCATAGAGAAATTGAAATTTCTTCTTTAATAATTATTTTATTTTATATTTTTAGAATTGAAAATAAATATTGACTAATTATATTTTATCATTTTATCACAATGGCTGAATATATTATAATTCTATGGATGATTTATCATATCCAGAAAGCAATTGAAATTTCTTCTTTAATAACTACTTTTTGAATATATTGTATAATGTTTATTTATTTTTATAATTTTTGAAAATAAAATAATAAATAGTTATTATTTATATTTTCACTTAGAAGTTGTCTAATTGCATGTTTTATGGTTGGATAGGAGAGTTGGGTTTTTCCCATCCCATAAACTTAAGAATTATAATTTATAAATTATAGTTAAGCGTAGATTTTTTAATGAAATTATAATTAACTATTTTGTATTTCTTCATAAAATCAGTAAAATATATAAATTTATATATTCTTTATTGAGGTCTTATATTTAGCGTTATTGATGTATTTTTATAATTTATTGAAGTATTTATAATGTTTCCATGAGTATCTATGCCTATCTTCTCTAATACGCATGCGTATCCAAAGTGTATTTTGATGTCTCTTAAAATTGCCTTTCCAATACTTTGAACCTTGCAATAGATGTGACGTGTTCTGAATCACGGGAATTTATTATGGTGTGATTAGAATCACATGTTCTTAACTACTACACACTCCAAAGTAGAATTTTGTAGGTTATGGTATGTGTGTTCTATAGCAGGTTTAACTTTTAAGGTGTATAAACAATTTAGGTGAAAGATATATTTGATCAAATATTGCAAAACGTAAGCCAAAATGCCATTGGTGTGGTTGAGAACACGAGATTTACGTATGTTCCATCAACTACAAGATTATTTATTTTCAAACTGGTATGGTTGTGTCTTGAATTCTTTATTTTGACCCGCTTCATGAATCTGCTCTAAATTAAGTGGAGAAAAAACTCAAAGGAAAATCATTGGGGGTGCTGGGGTGGAGCATCCTGCAAGAGTACAGACCCGATTCATATTCAGCTTATAGGATCCAAACCGAATATGAAGAGTTATGCATTTTGGGGTTTTTCTCTCTTGTATATTTAGGTCTTTGTCTTGTAAGAAAAGTTGAGAGACTGGGTGTATTTGGGATTTGGGATCCAAACCTATTCATATTCAGCTCTGTATTCTTCTCCATTGCTGATTTTATAGTGGATTTATACTCCTTTTTCGCCTATGGATATAAGCAATAAGCCGAATCACGTAAATTCGTATGTCCTCTCTGTTTACTTCTCTTTATTTTTGTTTTTTCCTTTCGTTTTTGGGTGTCATTCAAATCTGCATTTGCAAAACAAACTATCATGGTGTGTTCCACAACCTATTAGTTTTTTTAGTCCCAAAATTTACTCCAGGTGCCACCTTAAAATGTTCCACAACCTATTAAAAAACAAAACTTCCATGATATTGAATTACCTCTATTGTGATTTCGCCTATAGGTTTAGCTGAAGCTGACGATCTAAAGTGATGCCATTCTTTGACAACAGGAAATGATTTAAAAATAAATAAATTTATGTTTAGGATTTTAAGGAAACAAACACATATCTGATTTCTTCTTGACAATTGGGAATAGGGGGGCATTGATAACAATGGCTGAACTGCTTTGTCTTATAGAGAATAAGTTATTAAAGAGGTTATGAGGTCCTTCACAATTGAGGCTGAAGTTGGGTTGATTACAAACACTTGAATATTTTGTTATTTGACCATTCTATCCATTAAAACAAGGTTTAAAGCAAATCGCATTGTTTTGTGCGTATTGTATCAGTATCGAGGCAATATGGCACGATAAATACTGAGAGTTTGGGTATTCTAATGGATTCAAATGTTAATGCCCATCCTTGTCTACTTGTCTAATATATTATGCTGAAAAAATAAATAAAAATGTTATTGTATCTTTTGAAATAAATGCTCGATACCCAACTTTTGTGTACCTAGAAGCTTACTGGGTGGAAGAAAAATACCCTTTCTCTTGCAGGCCGAATCACCATGATTAATGCTACCACGAGCATGATGCCTCAATTCATTATGAGGTTTTTCAAAATCCCAAGAAACACTATAAATGATATAAATAAGATGTAGAGAAGCTTCCTTTAGGAAAAGAATATGACAGAAAGCCAATTCATCTAATAAATTGGGAGAGTGTGCACCCCTAAGAGATGGGGCGGGCTTGGGTGGAAAGTTCTAAACGATCAAAACAAATTATGGGTAAGTTGTCTAAAGTAAGTACCTTAGAAGAGAATTTTTTTAGAAAGCCAAGACTGCCAAAGGCATTTCTTGGGTGTGAAGGGGTCCACCAATCGAGACATCTCCTAAAAAAAGTATTGGTTGGATGATAGGGAATGGTAATTCAGTAAATTTCTGGGAAGACAATTGGGCTGATAAAAAGAAATCACTAACCAAGCAATCGACCCAAATGATAATCTCTGCTAAGTTGATTGATTTTGAGAGAATGGTGTGGAAAGAAGGTAGTATTCGGGAATTAGTTCCCTTGGAAGTGTGGCAAAAAATCAAAACAATCCTTCTCCGCTCAAGCCCCGTTTGTTGATGGAATGTTTTGAAGGTTTGATCCTAAGGCTCCGTTTGGTTTGTGGGATGGGGATGAGAAAAAAGGAACATCACTGTCACCGAACCAGCTCCCCTTTTCTCTCATTTGTTTTGAGGGAAAGAGAGGGATGGGATGAGAAATATGTGGGATGTCAGATCGCAAAATCATGGATTTGAGGTCGCACTATGACCGCAGTGGAAAATTTTGAGAAAGAGGAGGGAGTGAGGAACGGTTTGTGTGGAAAATACAAAAGGGGAGCTGGTTCGGTGACAGTGATGTTCGAACCCAGAAGCAGGAGCTGGAGGGGTCACACCAAAACCATCAGCGACCTGCTACCTCCCCTTCTTTGAGGACAGTCGCCAGGTGACGTTCTCTGCTGACGCCCCTCGAAGTGAGAATCTTTCATTTCAGCAGAGAAGCGATGCTGAAGCTGAAATCCAGAGTGATAATAACTAGTCGAGGCTGAGATTAACAGTCAAGGCTGAAGCTGAGATTAACAGGTCCAGCGATACTGAAGCTGAGATTAACCAGCTGAAATCCAGCTATACTAAACACTGAAGCTAAGATTAACCAGCGATACTGAAGCTGACAGTAACCCTCCTTCCAAGGCAACCACATTCCAAATGGCAGTGAACTGTCATCTGCGAATTGAACCCAACAGTCGCTTATGCTGGGGAGATGCTTTTGAGGGATCTGCAGGCGTGCACGTTTCTATTGCACGGAAATGTAATCGCGTACAACGGTGCGGTAGTGTGGTGGGTAGTGGAAGACTAGGAGAGCATTATTCATCATCTCCGATGGCACTATCCGAAGGTAGGAGATGATGAATAGTGTTTTTCCCATTATTTTCTCCATATAAAACCAAACAAGGGAAATATGAATTTTTACACTTTCCCATCCCATCCCACCTAAATCTTTCCACGAAGCAAACGGAGCCTAAAGGAAAGTTTACGGTTAGGTCGACATATAATGAGGCCAGCCTTACCACAAGAGTTTTAAGAGAGCCAAACATGATGCTAAGCAAAATCTAGGGGCTCTTGTTGCCCCAAAAAATTAAAACTTTCTTGTTTCTCCTTCTTTGTGGTCGTCTCTCCACAAAAGCCCTTCTTCTTAAGAAAGGTTTTCCCATTGATGGCTTTTGTGGGAAAGAGGAAGATACAAATCATGTTTTCAAGAGTTGCACCTATGCAAATCAAGTTTGGATGGCTTCTAGCTAGAACTTATCCTATCCAAATATCGACCATCAAAACATTGCTGACTGGTGGTGCTCTCTTGACTCAGAGTGTAAAGATCCCATGGGCATACATAAGGAGAAATGTGCTATTATGCATCCTATGGCTCCTCTAGAAAAACATGAACGAAAAGAGCTTAATGATAAATCTATCCCCCCCCCCCAGCAAGCAAGATAAAACATTTACTTGGAGACAAATTGGGTGGATACCACCTAAAGGGAGGGGATCAAGAAAAATTTCAATGCCTCTCGA